TTTCCCCTCTTCTCTCCTCCCTCATCCCTCTGAACCAGAGTGGATTCGTCAAGGATCGAGTCATTAGTGATAACATCCTTTTGGCCCAGGAGATGATCCACGACATCTCCCGTGCGGATTGGAAGCGAGCTCCGAATATCGCGCTGAAGCTAGATATGGCTAAGGCGTACGATAGGGTAGAGTGGCTGTTTCTTAGGGAGGCCCTGGCTAGGATAGGATTTCCTGATCGTTGGATCAGTTTTGTCGAGGCGTGCGTGGAGCACTGCACGTTCTCGGTCCTGGTCAATGGCAGCCCCACCGATTTCTTTCCCTCATCTAGAGGCCTTAGACAGGGAGACCCCCTATCCCCCTCCCTTTTCATCCTTGCGGCGGACTACCTCTCTCGCTGCCTTGACGGTTTCATCTACGACTTTCCTCATATGACGTATAGCACCCGTGGCTATGGTCCTCCCATCTCTCACCTCTCTTACGCGGATGACATCATCATCTTCACCCGGGCGGATGATGATGGGCTGGTCGAGCTCATGCGCCTTTTGGAGCACTATGGCTCGGTTACCGGTCAGCTGATCAGTGTGCAGAAGAGCACATTCACCCTCTCCTCTTCCAGCGCGGCCATGTGGGCTCAGCGGGTCCATGACATTACTGGCTTTGCGCGTGGCGATCTTCCGATTACCTACCTTGGCGTCCTTTTATATAAGGGCAACCTCACGAGAGCGCTCTTTGCGGGCGTCAGGCAGAGGATGATCGACATGATCTCTGGTTGGTCGCATAGACATCTTTCTTTCGGTGGTTGGCTTGCGCTGATCAAGAGCACTCTTAGTTCTTTTCCGATTCACTTGCTTATGGTTCTCGACCCCCCTAGGTCTACTCTTGACGAGATAGACCAGATTATGGCTCGTTATTTCTGGGGTTACGAGAATGGTTCGGGGAGGGGGAGACGTACCCACTGGGTGAGTTGGGACTCCATTTGTCGCCCCCTCCCCGAGGGTGGACTTGGCATCCGCCGCCTCAGGGACATTGTTACAGCTTTCTCATACAAGCTGTGGTGGCGCTTCAGGGAAGGAAAGTCGCTTTGGGCTCAGTACCTTCGCGGCAAGTACTGCCCTAGACGTGCCAACCACCCTTGTTGGGTAACGGCTGTTGATCATGATAGTAGGAAGTGGCGGCGCCTTACTAGGGTTGGTAGGCGCACCCAGGATCACATTTTCTGAGTTTTGGGCGAGGGCGAGGGCGATGTTAGTTTCTGGGATGAGTGGTGGGTAGGTGATAGGCTGTTGTCTAGGGATATGCAGGTGTTGCATTCCCCCTACCTGCTTGTGAGCGACCTTTGGACGGACGAGTCGTGGGATAGGGGGAAGCTTGATAGGGAGTTGGGGTCTGGTGCGGGTTTTAGCGGGCATTTATTAGATCAGATCCAGCCGATCCCTATCTTGGGGGATGGTTCAGATAGCATGAGGTGGAGACTTACATCATCGGGTGTGTTTTCTACTACCTCGGCTTAGGAGCAGATCAGGTTGAGGGATCGTCCTAATCTCCTCTTCGGGGCCATCTGGAGTGACCTTTTCACCCCTACTATTTTGGTGTTCCTTTGGCGCCTCCTCTTGCGCCGGATACCCGTAGATACTGTGCTACACGCGAGGGGGATCTCCTTCCCCTCTTGGTGTGTGTGTTGTTCTGAGACTGGACGCCATGAGACCGAGACCTTTACCCACCTTTTTCTAGAGAGTGAGATTGTGAGGAGAGTGTGGGAGAATTTTGCCACTTGGACACATATATCCCTACACACCATATACAGTTTCTTTGAGCTTCTGAGTTTTTTCTCACAGAGCACACACCATAGACACGTGGGCTTCCTCATTCCTTGTCTGATCCTTTGGTTCACCTGGACAGAAAGGAATAGTGCGAAGCATAGGGATATTACTTTTATATTTTCTCACATTGTTTTGCAGGTAGAGAGACACATTTCACTCCTCATCGCATTGGGCAGGATCACGGCCCGAGACTGGACAGGCTGCACGCCACCACATCGCTACATGGTGGCCCCACCACCGTCTGTTCCGCACCCTCGGCCCAGAGCTGTTGTTTGGCTTCGACCTGACTCTCCATGGGTCAAGCTGAACACTGATGGCTCCTTTGATCGACAAACTAGAGTTGCCGGAGGAGGAGGCTTGATCCGGGACCATAGCAGCGCCCTCATCACCGCCTTTCACGCGTCCCTTCGGGCCTCCTCGAGCTATGATGCAGAGATTCAGGCATTACAAATCAGCCTTCAGATTGTTGTCCACCTCTCTAGCCACATTTGGATCGAGCTAGACGCTGCGGCTGTAGCCACCCTTTTGACCTCGGGCCACCAGGGCTCGTGGCAGATTCAGCACCCGCTTATGCGTATTAGAGCTCTACTCCGGTTTGTCCATCACAAGATCACGCACATTTTCCGTGAGGGCAATAGACCTGCCGACTATCTGGCCAGCCTTGGCGCCACCATACCAGATACACATACATTTCAGTCCGACACTGCTCCACTCCGCCTTCGCACTCTTGTACGGATGGACCAGCTAGGATATCCAGCGTTCCGCTTTCAGTAGTTTAGGATTTTTGCTTTCATTAGTCTAGACATTTACTTCGAGCATCTGTTAGCCCGAAGATCGACTTTGTACTGTAGTTTCTGTTTCTTTTTTGTGCTTCGGTTTTGCTTTTTGTTTCATGTTTTTTATTTTGGTTAGTGAGACTCTGTAGACTATTGTATCTTGCTCGTTGATATTTTGGGCCCCCGATTTTGGGGCCCTGATCTATGCACAGGTTGGGGATCCAGCCCAATCCCCCGCCCTTCCGGGGCGTTGTTTGTTTAAAAAAAAAAAAAACCTAGCAACTACAGAGAACTAACCTAGCAACTACATAGAACTAACTAACCTAGCAACTACAGAGAACTAACCTAGCAACCACAGAGAACTAACCTAGCAACTACAGAGAACTAACCTAGCAACTACAAAAAACTAACCTAGCAACTACATAGAACTAACCTAGCAGCTACTGACAACTAACCTAGCAACTACAGAAAACTAACCTAGCAACCACAGAGAACTAATCTAGCAACTACGGAGAACTAACCTAGCAACTAGAGAAAACTAACCTAGCAACTACGAACCTAGCAACTACAGAGAATTAACCTAGCAACTAGAGAGAACTAACCTAGCAACTACATAGAACTAACCTAGTTGGAAGGTTAGTTGTCAACGGTCAACACCGGAGTTAACGCCCGAAGTCAACGGATTTCGTCGGGAGTCAACGTTGGAAGTCAACGGTCAATACCGGAGTCAATAGGTCAAAATAATATTTAAATAACTAAAATAATAAAAAGAAAAGAGTAAATCTTGGCCACACATGATGTACCAAATCTTGTGGCTGAAAATGAGTCTCACGTCCTCACTTTAAATAAGTGGATGCATTGGAACCAATCCTTCTATATATATATATATATATATATAAACCACTCATATATATATATATATATATGGGTTGGATCCAATGAGACCACTCCTTAAAATGAATACGTAAGACTCAATCTTAGCCACTCATTTTGTCTAGATCAAGGATTTATGTTAATCAATTAAAATATACATTAATTAAATAATAAAAATAATTATTAGTTGACTCTGGCATTGACCGTTGACTTTCAGTGTTGACTTTCAGCGAAAATCGTTGACTTTCGGCATTGACCGTTGACTTCCGGTGTTGACCCATTGACCATAATATGTATTGTGTATGAAGTAAATATGGTGAGGCAAAGTTAGTGTAAATATGTTGCAAAGTTATTTTAAAAATGTTGCAGGGTTAGTTGTTTTTATTTGCAATGTTTAGTTGAATTCAGTTTGTAAGGTTAGTTGTCTGTAATTGCAAGGTTAGTTGTCTTTAGTTGCAAGGTTAGTTATGTCTAGTTGCAAGGTTAGTTTTGTTTAGTTGCAAGGTTAGTTTTCTCTAGTTGCAAGGTTAGTTGTCTGTAGTTGCAAAGTTAGTTGTATCTTGTTGCAGGGTTAGTTGTTTTTATTTGCAATGTTTAGTTGTATTCAGTTTGCAAGGTTAGTTGTCTGTAGTTGCAAGGTTAATTGTCTTTAGTTGCAAGGCTAGTTGTCTTTAGTTGCAAGGTTAATTGACTTTAAGTATTCTTTCATACATGATGCATTCTAAGGTCAATAGGTCAACATTGTAGTCAATGCTGGAAGTCAACGATTCTCGTCGGAAGTCAATGCCGTAAGTCAACAGTCAACGCTTGAGTCAATGGTCATAATAATATTTAAATAATTAAAAATAAAAAATTAAATAATAAAAATAAAGAATTATTATTTAAATCAAGATCTAAATCTTGTGGCTAGGAATGAGTCTCACGTACTCACTTTAAATAAGCGGATGCATTGGAACCAATTCCTATATATATATATATATATATATATATATATATATATAGGGTCGCGCTCCGGTGAGAATGGTGTTCAATGAAAGAAATAAGAATATATCGTAGCCATTAGATCGGATGATATAATGGTTAAAAAAAAGTCAAAATTATACCTTCATTAAGGGTATTGAGGTAATTTTACACACCACAAGTGGGCCCTTTTCACAATAATACACGTGCCTAATACTACCCACCCACCATCAGCCACCCTACTCCACCCCACCACACCCTCCACTATCTCTCTCTCACACATGCACACACACACACACAAAATATGCACACACACTCACGGCCAAACACCGCCAGCCTGCCGCCGCACGTCAGCCGCCGCCACGTCAGTCGGTTGCCGTCACCACCCGTACCCCCACCGCCCCCGTCAGTCGCCGTCACGGTGAAAATTCAGATGTTGCCGTCCGTCAATCCTCCACTGCTCGTCCACCCCTGCTAGTCCGCCACTGCTCGCCACCCGCCGCCACCGCTCTTCCACCCACTCTCTCCAAACACTGTCGCCGCTGTCCGTCACGCCGACGATGTCTTCACGCCGTCCGTCATGCCAAATACCACCGTTGTCCTCACGCCGCCGCCGTCCTCGATCCGTCGTCCGCCGCCATCTAACTCCCCGGAATACGACAGCCAGACTCCAGCCGACTACGGCTGCCACATGCCTGACCAAGACCGTCGGGGTCCATCTCGCTGCCGCAGGAGGTGGAGCTCAGTTTTGCCGCCATTAATCTTGCCGCCTCCGTCCTCCTCAACCGCGAAGCGCCGTCGTATCCGGCCACCGTCGTCCTCGTCGCCCTTACTTCGATTCCAAGATCAAGGTGCAGCACCTCTCAGCAGGAGCTCGACAGTCAATAATGGTGGGCTTGGCTTTGAAAATTGGATAATCCTCAAGGGCATGACCGCAATTTCAGCTATTTTGACAATATTTCAATTAGGTCCATTGGGCCAAATTTGTAATTCATGTAAAATATATAAAAAATATGATTTCATATATTATTTTTATACATATATGTTATGCATTTTTATACCAAAAAATAATATAAAAATATTAAATAAAAATATCGATATACTAAATACTAAATAAAAATTAAAAATAATATTCTTATATACTAAATATTTAAGTTACACATTATAATTTTTAGATAATATTAAATAATATTTATATACTAAATATATAAATTACACAGTATAATATATATACATATCTATATTATAAAAATAATATAAATATTAAATAAAATATAAAAACACTGAATATATTTTTATAAAAAATAGCTGCAATTCGAATGCACATTAGTGATAGACAGATTGCACATTAGTGACCAACAGATCGCACATTATCAAATTTGGTATTTAATATATTACGTATTTTCAAGCAAAAAATATTATAAAATATAGAATATAAATATTATATATTGTTATAATATAAATAATAAATTATTTTAATCATTTATGTTAATTCATTTTAGGATGTTTTGGGATACATGATTAAAAAATAATTGCAATGTGGGTGCACTATACCATTAGATGGGTTGTACATCAATAATTGTTGTTTTGCATGTTATCTACAGAAACCGACCAAACTAAACGTTTCGTTTTAAATTTTATTTTTTGGCTTGATTATCTGTTTTTACTTTTATAAATTCAGTCAATTCGGTTCGGTACTAAACCCAACAAACTAATTATAAAAAAATATTACTTCTTTGTATTTTATTTTCAAAAAATAAATTATTTATTTTGTAGCAAAAAAAAAAAACATTAACAATCAAATAAAAATGTTAACAATAATAAATATGATTTTTTATAATATAAATAATATTTTATTTCAGTTATTTGGTTAATTTAGTGATCCGATCAATAAAACAAGTAATTATGTTCAATATTAATTTGGATTGGGGCGAAAGTTCGGTCAGCTCATATTGCACAAAAGCAACCAAAATAATGCAACATATTGGTATACGATTTGCACATCAATGATTGTCAAACTGACCAATACCAACTAAAATCAACCGACCTTATGTTTTTTGTTTGAAATATTTATATGTCGGTTCGATTATATGATTTTACTAATAAAGTTTTGGTTATTTTGATTTATATCATTAATGTGCATTTATATCATATATTTATGTTTAAATTCTTCACGTGAAATTTTAAAGTGCATACGTTCACATACAAATGTGCAATTTATTTATCAATAATGTGCAATTATTATAATCTAATATTTTGGAATAAAAAAAAATTATAGTATTTATTTGTTAATATATACACCCCATAATGTGCAATTTCCTTATCAATGTGGTGCATTTATAAAAGTATAGTAAATTACAAATTTAACACATGTACTAAATTGAAAGTATGTGTAACTTTTTTAATTTGCATACAAGTCCTTGAGCCTTATCAAATTTTCAAGATGCAGTCCCTCATCACCTCAAACAAACCTGTCACTTTTTCGACCACTGATTTCTCGCCCCGACTCAGCCGCCTGGGGTCTGCCACTGCCACCGGAGCCTTCATGCCACGCAGTTGCCGCCGGAGCTTCCTGCTCCACCACCTCACAGATAACAACACACATAAAAAAACACAGCTCCTGCTCCTCTGTCATTCTCCCGCCGCCGTCGTCGCCATTGATGCCCACATCCAGAACCACCGTTATCTGCTGCACGGACACCGTCACACCGCCGCTCGCTCCATTGATGTCCCGCCGACCACCTCCACCACCTACGAGGCACGAGCACTTCAACGAGATCCGCCACCTACGCCGCTGGTGCGAGAAATCCGACGAGATCCGCCACCACCGCCGCTGGCGCGATCTATCAAGCTTGAAAGACCACCGCCGGATGCCGGAATTTTGAATTGAAACAACCGCATCAGCTGCCGACGAAAAAAACATATCGTTGAGTCGGGGCTGTGCATATGGAAGACGACGACAGTGGTGGTTGAGACGGGCGGTGGGGCGGCGTGTATTTATTTTTTTGGGCTGATTTTCGGCCGGAGTTTTAGCAGTGACTTGGCCGGAGAGAATCCGGCGACAGTTGGTCGTGAGGCGTATGGCGGGACTGTGCATATGAAGACGGCGGCAGGAAGAGCGGGGAGGATCGCGGCGGGCGACGGCAGATGGGCAGTGAGAGGCGATTGCGGGAGGCATGATCCAGTCAGTGTGTATGTGTGTGTGTGTGTGTGTGTGTGTGTGTGTGCAATCAGTGTGTGTGGCTGTGTGTGCACGCGTGATTTAATGTGTGTAATTGTGTGAGAGAGGGTTAGTGGTTGTGTGTGGGGTCCGCTTGGTGTAGGGGTTGGTATTTAATGACCAAAATATCCTTATTAAGTGGTCAAATATGTATGTTTGACCATAATATGACCACTTAATTACTAAATTGCCATAACATGTTTGACTACCCTATTTAATATTTGACTTAATCATGTCCATTGATATAATTGATCAAATAGTACAGATTCATTCTTATTTCTTTCACTATCTCTCTTTCTCATATGATCTTTTCTCTCTCTCTCTCTCTCTGTATACACACACACACACACACACACACACACACACACATATATATATATATATATATATATATATATAAGGATTAGTTCCAATGCATCCACTTATTTAAAGTGAGGACGTGAGACTCATTTTTAGCCACAAGATTTGGTACATCATGTGTGGCCAAGATTTACTCTTTTCTTTTTATTATTATAATTATTTAAATATTATTTTAACCCGTTGACTCTGGCGTTGACCGTTGACTTCCGGCGTTGACCGTTGACAACTAACCTTCTAACTAGGTTAGTTCTCTGTAGTTGCTAGGTTAGTTCTATGTAGTTGCTAGGTTAGTTTTATGTAGTTGCTAGGTTAGTTGTCTGTTGCTAGGTTAGTTTTCTGTAGTTGCTAAGTTAGTTGTTTGTAGTTGGTAGGTTAGTTCTCTGTAGTTGCTAAGTTAGTAGTTGTTATGTTAGTTCTCTGTAGTTGCTAGGTTAGTTCTCTGTAGTTAGCTTAGGTTAGTTCTCTGTAGTTGCTAGGTTAGTTGTTTGTAGTTGCTAAGAGTTGTCCGCATTTTAAGAGCTGAACGCATTTTAAGAGCTGACCGCATTTGATCCGCCCCCTATATATATATATATATAAACTCAATTAGAAATAGATCTACAAAAGAATTAATCAAAAATAAAAGTGAAAAATATGTATGAGTACGAGTACAACATACATGACTTGTCACGTTAGTTCTCTATAATACCACGTATATTCAGTTCAACGAAGAATTCTGAGTCAGTCATATCCACTGTTATTACCTTTGCTTTGAAGTTTGAATCCAATTCTGGTTTGACTGTGGAGAGCGTTGAAATTTTATAGTCACGCGCACATTCCAAGTCCTTAGTTCCAAAACAGTAATAAATTACGCCTATTAATTATTTTAGCTTATAAATATTTTAATGTTACACCTCCAAATTTCCACGCAAATGTTCCAAATTCCCAATAAATCGTGATGACTGACGATGATTGGTACAATTTGTAAATGCTCGTTTTAAATACGTGACCTATCCTATTTATTGTGCTAGGCAATACTTTTCCAATCAGCTACTAAAAAATATCCAGTAAAAGTCTCAAGTCAAGATATATAAGCAGCATCTTTGGATCTTGACCCCGCGGATAANAGCTTGTGATAACCGGCGGCCTGAGACCGCACCGGCGACGGTGGAAGGGATGGCAGCCTTGGAAGAGGTGTCTCCGGCGAGAAACGGCGTGACCTGCCGAAAAAGAGCTTTGTAGAATTTTTTTTCTGAAAATTTGATACACTATAGGGACTCAATTGCAAAATATTGAATGTTGAATATATTTTCAATTTAGTACCGGGGTATAATCTGTAATTTTTAGAAAAATTCAACGAATGGTGAACAAACAATTTATATACCTACAAAGGCCCATAGCGATTCACAAAATTCTTATACGGGGCTGCACTTTAGTGAATATCGGATTGCACATTTGTGATAGGCATAATGCACATTAGTGTGTTTGAGGACGCACATTAACACAACAGTGCATTTTCACGTATATTAATATAATTTGGTTATTTTTGTCTGATTTTGACTTCATTTACTAAAAACAAAAACAAAGAAAATACGAAATAACGTGAACTGACCGAACTATATATAATAGTATTTTTATATTTTGTCTATATATATTGTTTATTTTCACCAAACAATAATAAATAAATTTATAATTGCAAAATGGGGTTAACTAGAATACTCATTATTAAAGTTTATACAATTAAAATGCACAAAAACAATGATCAATTGACTGCACAATAATACTAGACAAAATGCACATTATTATATGTGGTAGTGCACAATGTTGATTCGATTTTTTATATAATGTGTCTTTTAAACCAAAATATAATATAAGAATATTAAATAAATGTATTAAAATAGTGAATATCTTTTTGTAATATTAATAATAAATCATATATTATTTAGATTATCTGGACAATCAATCGAAAAAATCCGATTATTTCAGATCGGGTCTAGTTTGGTATGAATCAAATCACTAAATATGTCCGCTCTGTAAGTGCACGATAAAGGTAGACAAATTGCACATTAATAACTATCAGACTGCATATTAAAGATCGAAACTTTCCAACCTCGAATTTCGGATAGAAATTTTATATTACGGTTTGATTATCTATTTTTTAATTTTAAACTACTGTTATTTCAGTTTGATATCATTTTTGTTTTTAAAAATAACCAAAATGATTGATTCGACCGAATAATATTAAAAATAGTATTATTATTATTATTTTATTTTTTATGCATATCGGGTGCACATTAGTGTTGTGCGAATTGCACATTAGTTAGTACTAGATTGCACAATATATAACGTAACCGACCGAAATAATTTCTTCAGTTCAAAATTTTAAATTTTGGATCAATCGTGTTTCTTTACTTTTAAAAAACTCGGTTGTTTTTCGGTTTGATGTCATTTTTGTTGTTTTTAAAATTACATAACCAAATTAACCATAGTCCAAAATGTATAAAAGTATTATTATCATTTTTTTATATTTTTTATGCAATAGATAATTTGAGAGTTGGGATCCCAACTCTATATATATATATGCATTTGACGGATATATAATTAGATGAAAAATTAAGGATAAGTACAAAATTATTCCTGTTACTTATTTTAATTTATTGATTTTAACACGACACTAAATAACAGATAAGAGAAAAAATATAAATTAGTGGTTTATTTTTTATATGATTTTAAAGCACAACGTATAAATATGTAATCAAAATTCAACAGAAAATTACGAAACTATGAAATGTTGATATTACGGAATTCATAGAAATAGATTGGATCTCAACAAATTGGTTGATATCCCATAATCCACCTTCTATTTATTTTCAAATGTTAAATAATGAATATTAAAATATTAATTATACTTTAGTTAATTACAAACTTGACCCATGAAAATATATGAAAATTTCTGAAATTGCAATAAAGTTCTTGGGACTTATCAAATTCACAAACTGAAGCCCTTTACTTAAAATCTGAAACTTCCGCTCACAGGCCAATCCTTACCGCCGCCGTCGACAACCGCGATCTGAGGCTCCACGCAATATCCGGCTGCTGTCGTCGAGACCACCGTGACCCTCCGGCTCCGTGTACGGGTACGGCTGAATTCTGCAAGTCTGCAACTACGGGCTGATGAAGGTCGGAGCTACGTCGGGGTAGTCGGAGCGTACGACTGATGGCGGCGACGTGCTGAGACTTAGGCGTGGATCGTCATGGCGAACAACAGACGGTGTACCTAGTTGTGTGGCGGGGGTCCGACGGAGGTCCATGGATTTTTTCCGGTAGTCCGGCGGCGAACAGTGATGTGCAGGGACGAGTCGGCGACGACTGTAGAAGAAACATATTGTGCGTCGGAGTGGGTGCCTGTGTGGCCGCGGGCGGCAGTTGGCGGCGGTCGGAGGTGGTGCCGGTGAGAGAGAGAGAGAGAGCTGCGATATGTGTGTGTGGGTGAGAGAGAAAGCTGTTTGAGGGGATGGTGGTGGGACCCACCTGAGATAAGAATCAATACATATTTACCATATTGTCCATAATTAGTGGTTGAATGATTATATTTTCCCATGATTTGTACTCTTATTTACGAATTTGCCACCGTTTGTTTGACTGTTGTATTTAAATTTTGACTGGATCATAACCATTGATATGTTGGATCCAATGGTCCAAATTTATTCTCATTTCTTTCACTATCTATCATTCTCATGTGATCCCAAGTATATATATATATATATATATATATATATATATATAGTTATTATTTCATTTCTTTTCATTAGAAACTTATGTTGTCTCAATCTCTTTAAATTTAAATCTTATGATGTTATTTACCATAAAAACTCATTTGTTTTTTTAATAAATTAATTATTTTTCTTTATTACAAAATTATGACAAAATAATTAACCATCACGTGCACCACACGTGCACTTTACTAGTAATAAAAAAAATATATATATCTAAACTTGCTATGCAAATCCAGTCTTAAGTCCTTGCCCGAGCATTCGCCATTCTAGAGAGCACGAATATGGAAACAGAAGATAGAAATATAGCCCCAGCAAAGCAGACAAGATCTGCAACATTAGTCACTGACATGCTCTTGAATTTCTCCACAACCTGCACTTGAAGTATCACGATCACGGCGTGCACGATTTTCGACTTTGCTTCTACTGCCGATTCCATTCTCATCCATGATGGGAGTTTCTGAAACAAATCAGATCAAGTTATTAACAAGCCACACATGATATCCAAAACAAAAGCAAAATTGCAATATATTGTAACTCAAGGGCACATGAAAATTGTGGCAACTAACTTTTAAAAATTATAGAAAATGTCCACTAACTAAACAAATTATGAATATTTTGTCCAAACACCACGGATAGTGAACTAATTTGCAAATATATTAGGTGTCTTTTGATGTATTAGATTGATTAATACTTAAGAAGAGTATTGGAAAAAAAACAAAAATGTGTAGATTCTTAATGCATTTTATTTTCAAATTAGATACCATACCTTGAGATTGAAATTTTTGGACAGTGTTGAATTTGATTGTAATCCTTTGTCTTGTCCCATAAACATCACATGTACAGCCACTCCAAAAACAAGCATTGCTGTTCCCACCAGGAACATATCTGCCCCAAAAGAAATAGTTTTAACTAAAATCTCAAAGAAAACTAAATCACCTAGATGCATGTGACTAAGCTTGTGATAGATTCAATTCTTGAAAAGTGGAAAATAATGGATTGAAGTTTGTTTTTCATAATATTAGTACCAATAGCCTCAATCAACAGGAGCACCACATGTCCTTGCTCTGACATTTGCGATAGTGAATGAAAATATTGGAAATAAGACTCCATTATTAGAAAACACCCCTGCAAGAAAAAAATAACTTTTGGATTAGCTAACTTAAATCATGAAAGGAAAGGCAATAAATTTTCGTTGTTTAATTTCTCCCCTGAATTTAAGTTTTAATTAATTACCTCAACAACACATAATGCAGAACCTAGCAAAGACCCTGCAGTTGCCAGCAAAGTGAAAAATCTACAATCAACTATAGCCTGCAAAAGAGAAAACAGATGGGTTCAACAATTTCCCTCTGGTTAACTAATAAAAACAAAAAAGAAAACCATATTTCTCAATAAACTACCCAAAAAAAAATACAGGTCAAGGTTATGATAAAAGTTGGGTGCTTTACCTTTTCAACAAGCATTTGTATATGAAATCTCCATGGCCTCTCTCTTGTGATAAACTTCATCCACTCTAACATTTTATCAGTAACATATAATGACAAATCTACCCCTTTACCCATTTTCGGTTCTGAAATAAGTACGCCTGGCAGTGGATTTTTGGAATTCAACCCTACATTGGCCAGACACATGAGTTTCCTAGGCCTAGACTCCATTGATGATTTAACAAAATTTAAGGACATTTCACTGGACAATCCATAGCCAAAAGGCTTAGAAATTGGTAACAGCCTTGTAGCAGCCATTTTAAAATTTCAAGCCTTTCTTCGAGAAAATAGTAGACACGAGTTCTTTTCAACTTATTTTTGTTTTCCGAATGTTTTTTCTTTTCAAGTCGTTATAAATAGACAGGTGCATGGGGTGATGAGGATTTTAAGAAGATTCGTGGCATATTAGCATAAAATTGTCTGTATATTGGGAGTTTAAGTTCTAACTTTTTGCCCCTTTTCTTACTTTTTTCTTGGAGAGGTAGGTTATTGGAATTTGGAACATTGAATATTCCGTCATTTCTCACGTGGCGAATTGTATTTCCCGCGACGTGTGGGTTCAAGGTGATTCTTAGCCGGACACGAGGTTGTAATCTTTTCACGGAAATTTATTGGTTCAAAATCCGAACTTTTTGTATGGGCCGTTGTCTTGGTCACTGGTGAAATGGAATTTGGATTGTTAGCCGAATTCGGATTCCGTTGGACCTCTTTAGATTTGTCAAACTGCATTTTGATAATTCAAACGTATCGGGTGGACAGTAATTGAAGCAATCGTCCCTCTTGTCCTAACAACGAGTCCATAAAATGTCATTCTACTATTTTTTTTTTTTTTTTTAATATGTGCTGTTACATTTTGACCAAGTCTTTTGTTCCGAAAAAGGTATGTGTCGAAATAAGTTTTACACACGGCCAAATAATAAGTAAACCTTTTCACCCCATAACATGTGAAATAAATTATTTTAGAAAATTCACTAATGAATTGTCCTACATCGTTTATATAGGGAAAATAGGCTTAATTTATACGTCTAATTGGTAACTCCTCCTACCACTAATTGGTTTTAAGATGGAACCCCACTAAGGCCCATTTAAGCTCACCCTGCTTTAGTGCGCTTCACGTCCGTGGGACCGCACCCGTCAACCCCCGTTTCTTCATGGTATCAGAGCCGATTCACCCAGCCCAGTTCAGCTTAGGCCTACGTGGATCACACAGTCCAGTTGGGCTTGGGGCTCATATGAAGGACTCACAAGCGAGGGGACATGTTAGAATATACACTTGTGAGTTGTCAACATCGTCTATACAGGGAAAATAGACATAACTTATAAGTCTAGTGGGCTACTCCTCCTACCACCAATTGGTTTTGGAATGGAACCCAACTAAGGCCCATCTAGGCTCACCCTGCTTTGGAGCAATTCACGTCCGTGGGACCGCACATCAACAAATTGGTGTTAGGAGGAGTAGCCCACTAGGCTTATATGTTAGGCCTATTTTCCCTATATAAATGATGTGAGACAACTGCTAAGTGAATATTCTAATAAATTATACGATATGATACCGACAAACAGACAAAAATAATTTATAAAGTGCGTAACAATTATAAGCTATGCGAAATACATACGGAGATAATTGATAAAGTGTGAAATAATTATGCGGTAAACTATGTGACGAACAGGTGAACATAATTGATAACAATTGTGCGATAAACTATGTGACAGATAAATAAAGATAATTGATAAAGTGTTTTCTGACAATACCATTTTGAATGAGAATTCATGTTTTAGTCAACTGCATTTTTGCAGTTAAATTTATTTGTGCGAACATGTTCCTTTAATTTACATTGTAGATAATATGGTTCCGGTTGCGGAACAGTAAGATCATATTATCGGTGTTTTGTAAAATATAAATGAACTCCCTGGTCGTGAAAGATTGTAGTATGAGACTTGGAATTAGTTGATCTTATACTAATGGATTACACAAGTACATATCGCATTTATTGATCGACCCACAAGAGGATATGATTATATTATACTGACCAAATAAATAATTTAAACCTCATTATTTGTTGCGTATTCTTAACCCGTACGTAGAACAATGTACAGGCATATGTAACCGGCAGTTACTTATTTGATTTATCAAGGGTGAGACTTATTTTGATAGGTCGACATACTCGATATTTTGGTAACTAATGTCGGCTGCATGATGTGCCGTCAATATTGCTTACGGTCACCATATCTCGCGAAAGTCTGGGTTAATGACGTCCCCAAAGTGAGCTCAAGAAGGTTCGTTATATCAAGCACTGCAGGCGGATGATTTCTACAAAATGATAAAGAATTGAATTGTACTAGCTAAGGACATAAAAGCTAAATAATTAAATTGTCAGTAATTAAATTAATTAACAGACGGTTATATCTTAAATACATGGATATAAATCGAGTAATAAATAGAGAAATGAATTAATTATAATTCGGAGTTAAATTGGGAGTGCAATAATGTTTCATTAGTGGAATGATTTATTATTCGAAAATTGAGCGGAGTGGGCTTGGCTCACAAATGGGCTCATGCTTATGAAAACCTCCCTAGGCTCCTTAGGGTCTCTACTGTAGCCTTATAAATATACCAAGTCTCAAGACTCCAAACACATGAGAGAGACATAATACAAACACGACATTCTTCTTCTTCATGAGAAGCCAATCGATTTTTGTGTTCTTGTGAGTTTATGAGTTTTGAGAGCTTCGTTCAATCGCTCCACCAAGATTGTTTGAAAGATGTTTGGGTAATACAGTAAAAGATTCTTATGTATTTTATTCACATCCCGTCTACGTATATTCGCAACCCTGTAGGGTTTCTGTAATTCGCGGGGTTGTCCGTTCTTCACGAAAATCGAGAATAATGATCACTAGAAATCGACAATAATCTTCTAGTACCACCTAGAGTCAGCTGCTCCCTGTCGTCGGCCAGCCAGTCTCTTCCGTCTGTCACCAAGTTTGCAACTGCGAAGCACCGTGTAGCACCGCGCGAAGGCACTGTCCAGAGCCCCTCTCGCACACGATCCACGCGCACAGCCTGCTCCCAGCGTCCGATGTTCTCGCGCTCCTCGTCTCGACATTCTAGTGTGTCACGCATCCCTGTCTCGCGGCCCGCGCACTTCTTGTGTGACCCACAGCGCCCGAGCACGACCCGTCTCAGGATATATGAAGTTCTCATGCTACAAGCGTGTTGCATCCGCGTCACAGTGCTCATCTCCGAGTCCTACATGACCTAGGTCTCTCCTACCGTGCAGTCCACAACACCCCACCACCAGACCCGGGTCTGTCTGGACAGGATGGGGTTTTTTTCAGTCCAACTGAGTCACCAACACCAAGAAGCGGTCTAACCCGGTTCAGCGCCGGTCCAAAATGGTCCAAGAGTGGTCTAACCCCCAGTTCGAGTCAAAGTTGAATTCCTAAGTATTCTGGCTAACCCACCAAATATTCGGTATGATTCGATGAGAAACCAAAGACATGATGGAGAGGCCTATTCTGGCAACCCAACGTACTCTAAGGTTCAGATGATCTCTAACCGCAGAAATTAGAAATGTCTCAGAGTTGGTAAATTTTATAACTATAAGTCATAATTCTAACTATAGATTCCATTACGTTATGATTTAATTTGTTGGATTCGAATGTGCACGAGAATGACGTTCCTCATAGAACCCAAAAACTTTTATCAGAGCCTAAACTTAATTCGTCTTTGTGCACTATACGAATTAGGACTTACTCGAAATATGTGAATTAATTATTTACGGGCGCAGTGCATAGCAGATTAGAATTGCAAAATAAGATTTTTTGCAGCTAATCATGAATCTGTCTATTGTGGCCCAAATGTATGCCTTTTAATTCATGTATGTATGTTGTTTTCAAAGCCTCAAACATGTCGGGGAATGTTATTGTTGTGAATTATTGTAATAATTTTAATGTGCGGTGAGACACCGCATAGTTTACCACTTTCGTAGAACGATCATATACGGCCCCTATATAGGTCATAGGTCGAATTATATAATTTTCGTATTTATATATTTAGAATGACACTGTGAACCAGACGAGACTGGGCGATTAAGACGATGACGACCAGTGAAAACCCGGCGAGGCGGAGCCATCCCAGAACTCGTGGTCATTGGGACCAGCGGGGTTACGCTAGAGCCGGCATGCTCACAGGAATCTTACTTCCGAGCATGCGCGATTCCTGGAGGTCTCGCATGTGACATTCCGCTGTTCCTGGGGAGAAGGAGCCGACAACGCGGGCGTGCTAGGCGCGCATGCATGCGACGCCAGGTGGATGCGACACCGGCTTGGCCGAGCATGCACCACTTGAACGTGGAGCTGCCACTAAGGTTACGCTAGGCAACCGACGACGGGCATGAGAGCAAGTTTATCTTGCACCTGCGCTGCCCGTGCACTGTGTGCGACACGGTTATGTCATGATAGCGACCGCGGCTTGTCGAAGGCATGAGCTTTTTTCGAAGAGGAGCTTCCGGCAAGAATGAGGACCGAGAAAGTATTACTTGTTTGAGAAGGAAAGTGGAAGTCATGGCGAAAGAAATGTTCCAATTCCAAGAGAAAACTTGCGGTTCTACAAGGACATTGATTGCTTGATTCTAATTGAAATTGGATTCATAATTATCGGCCATGATAGTTGGATTGATTTCCTTAATTGCATTTAGTTACGCACGCGCTTAATTGTTTTATTGCCTTGTTTGAAAAATAAAATAATATAAGCATGAAAATCTCTAATTAAAAATAATACCAAGTGATGAATGTAATTAAATAATTTTAAAATTCCAGGGCCTCCATTTTAAATTTTTCATTGAAGTGATTTTAAATTGCACATTGGCATTAGGGCATTCCTCCCAAAGGACAATTTTTTATCACAGTTCACAAGGAGGGATTTCCTACGGGATGGTTATAGTAAGCTATTTTAAAAGTGTACGGATCACCCAAAGGTGGACGTACATTTTTTGTGTGGAATTTGTAACAAGTAATGGGTCAAACTTAGAGTACAAATAATTATGATTTTCAAAGGATAGATTCATTTTATTTATGCGGGCCAAAAGTAGACCGACTATTAATTAAATGTTGATGTGTCGACATGTTAATTAATGAAATAAAACCCTCCTCTTGCGGATGTTTGATCCTTAAACGACCACACCACAGTGGCCTGCGGTGACTCGGTTCTTTGAGGTGTTGATGAATTTAATAAATATTGTTTAAGGGATCAATATTTAAGAATTAAATTTGAAAATGTGACTAAATAAAATTTATTTTCGTGTTC